AGGCTATTTATATTTTGTGTTTTCTAATTCATACGGATAAGATTAAATGATTTTCCATTCATAATTACATATTCACGATATTAAATATATTATGTCGAATGTAATCTTCTACTTTACTCGTATATGACAAAAAACCAACTAGAATGTATGGGTTAGCTAATATCCAAAAAGAGGATGTGATTTAAGCCCTATTGCAAGGCAGATGAATCCACCTGACATATTGCAAATTTCAGCTTGGCAAAACTTATTTCAACGATACTATCAACATTGCAGGAAAATATAAAATCATTTTGCGGCGTATTATCATGTGATGCGGAAAAGCCTAAAATTGGTTTACTTAGACCATGAGGTCAGTTTGGAAGTGCACTTGTTTTTTTTATTTACTTGTTTACTTATAATTGACTGTATTCAGTTCGTGAAATGAAAGTTAAAAGATAATCTAAAGCTTATAGAATATGCAGAGTCACTAAAGCATTGGCTATCTTAAGGCTACTGAATGTGAAAATTTGAATTCTACATAGATTTTTGGTGTTGCACCGGTTTTTCGAATTTCCGACTTTGCTATGAAATATTTAGTTTTTGAGCACCAAGACCTTTGCTCTTCATCAGCCAAATTATGTTATTAAAACTATATTTGGTTTTACTTATGAATACGTGTTATATATGTTTTCAGTGCAATAAGAACCATATTCAATATTTTGTCATAACTTAATATAAATGTCTTTTTAAAAGTTTTGTAAATAGAGCACAGATATTTAATATTCACTTCATGAAATAATAAACAATGACCAATCCTTTTATGATAATCTTAAAACAACAATGTAAGTTTAAAGAGACAATAAATACAGATACAGATTTTAAAATATACATAAACCAGTCATACCCAGCAGAGTCGAAAAAAAAAAGTTTGGTTCTTTAAAGAGTATTGAATTCTTTTTAAAAACTACAGTATGCAATATAAAAGTCTGTTTAATATTTAAATCTTTACATATTTCTCACAAATAACTTAATAAGCTATATTTTTTTTCCAACTAAAATCTTATTTATCAATAATAATCCCTTAATTCGACATACTCCATTTTTTTATTGGTATAAAAGAAGTTATATGATTTTAGCATAATTACTGAAAATATTTTGTAGTAATGTAACTTTCGAGGTAATATTCGTAGACATATTTGTTTACCTCATTATTGGTAACGATTACTTAAAAATCTGAACAAATATTCACTAAGATATGTAGAAATAATGTATTTAATTTTTTTTTACAATGTATTTAGCCTAGCGATGCAAGATTTGACTAGAGTTAACAATTTTAGACGATCATATTGCACATTCAATTTGTCATATCTTCTGGTCCATTATAAACACAGCGGGTTGAGTGCTATTAATTTTTTTTAAACTAAGAATTTTGGTTTGAACTTTATATTTCGAAGAAGAGGTAAATCGACAAAGTAGAACTTGGGCTACTAATCAATGGCCTTATTTTAATTATTTCTAAAAGGGAAAAAAGTTTGACCTCCGGGAGGAATTTCATAACAGTTAAAAAATAAAGAAATAATGCCCATAATATTAAAAATTACCCTACGCATACCAAATTTTTTTCCACGCTGACAATATTACAAGCAACATTTAGTATTAATTAAAAGAGCATTTTCATATTATTGTTATAAAAGCACTAAAATTCACAATATAGCTAAATTATAAAAAAATTATAGGCCATACAAAAACTACTACAAGTACAAAGTTGTGGTAAAGTTATTCGTCTCAATGTGTATAATAATAAATTTGTATCTATAGCTATATATATATATATATATATATAAATGGATTGCTGTTCCTTAGTCTCGCTAAAACTCGAGAACAGCTAAACGGATTTATCTTATCTTAGTCTTGAAATGTTCGTGGAGGTTCAGGGATATGCTGAAAAAAATTTATTCATTACTGGGAAAACCATAAAAACAGTCCTTTTCTATTTCCCAAACGTTTTTTTGACATTAGATTTGACAACTAACTAATATGTCAATCATTCTGTCGCACTTCAAAACACGGAGATTTATGGCTTACAGGTAAACTCCAAAAATATAAATAAAAAAACGTAATAGATATTTCTTGATTATAGGGCGATACGAAGTTCGCCAGGTCAGCTAGTTTAATATAAAATTATGCCCTTATACCAGTATTACATATCAATCGTTCCTATTTGAAGAACGAGGGTTTTTATATGCTGTTCTTGATTTTATTGATGTCTTCTTATTAAAGTCATTTAAATATGAGTTCATATAAATTTTTGGACTTGTTTTTGTCTGAGACCATAACAAAAGTCGTACTTCCATCCAAACCTATCACCTATCATATTTTTGGTAGTGGTGTATCTTAAAATTTGTGTATATACTTGATGCTAGTCATCTTTTAACCTGCAACAATTCAATTTACAGTAACAAATGAACTGTTAGGAATTTCTCACGCATCAAAGATTTCACAGATAAAGGACCTGTGGGTACATTGCAAACTATAGCATCTGAAAGGCATGACTAATTTCCTATATCGGTATTTGGATTCCTATCTCAAAGAGCTGAATGCTTTGTTCGTATTTGCTTACACAAACTAGGTTAAAATACTTCTCTCGAATTTACGTAAATACAGAAGTTGTCAATAATTTTACAGATTTATACCAGATTGGAATGTACACAATTATTTCAGCTCTAGAATAAAGAAACGACAGTCAGCGAGATAGTAACTAGCATCTAGTAATGTTACCTATTATGTGTTTAGTTTTTTGTAATTAGTGACTTTAAAAGAGCTCGACTGATTTAATTTCTTTATTTTGTAATCTAAGTATAGACACTAAATGCCGTAGCCTATAAAAAAAATTATACCTCTTTGTACTGAATGAAGTTTTATAATTTTTTTTTTTTTTGACAAAATTGAATTCGGTAACTGCACAATGTTTCAGCAGAAATATATATATATATATATATCTTCTTCTACCTGGCAATTTCCCAGCTATAGCCAGGGTCTGCCTTATATGTTGTGAATAGTTTTTGGCTATTTGTTTTTACGACCGGCCGCCTGCCTGACATCAACCCTCTTTTGGGAATCAACATTAATCAGTGATGTCTAAATATTCTTAGAAAGTACATATGATTCGGAAAAATCACATTGGTACTTGCCCGGGCCAGGATCGAACCCGCACCCTCGGCGACGAGAGGCCGAGAGGCGGGTCCTTTAACCACTGAGCCACCACTGACTGTTATATTTCTATAAATATATATATATATATATATATTTTTATAGAAATATATATATATATATATATATATATATATGAAAAGTTGTAGATTTAATACTGTGGTGTTAATATATAAATTTAAACGGATGGAAACGACTCCAGCGTATTTGCTTTCACAAGTTGCTACTTGTAAAGGGAGTATGGACCTAATTTTAAATTAAACAAAGTCTATTTGCATTTATACAATGGTAACAAAAAGCGGATAATATTAACTTTCCATTTTTTATGGTCTCCATTTTAGACAGAAGTAAAATAAATAAAGCTCTATTTTCATGTTTTTAATTTAATACATTCATTTAATTTGTAAATTATAATGAATTAATTTTCCCTCTTTTTTGCAATCACAACCAAACTGGTCACATGAATTTGTAAGTAATAGAAGTGATAGCGAGAGGTATAACGGTTAGATCTCTCTACAACCTATTAAAAGACTTGGGCCTGTCCAGAACTAATATCAGTTCATTCTTGCAATGTACTTCGAAGGCAGCCCTAGTAGATTATTTTCAAATTTGGTTAGATACAGAGAGGAGCTTGGACGGTGAAGGTGAGCGTGTAACGCGCGTTTGATAGGGGTTCCTGAAGCCTATTCGTGGGTCATAAGTCCCAGGCACAGTTAAAGCTCCTCTGCCTACTACGCAACGGACCCGGCACCCGAACGGTGCATTCATTCAATGTTAAGAAATTTGGTCTCTTTAATTAAATCCACAAATACACTTTTATGATATCTAATGAAAAAACTATCTAATCAAGTGATTACGCGTATCCAGGGAAAACTATACAATAAAAATAACTAAACAAAAATATTTTTAGTAAAGCTTTTCTATTGGAATACGCTAAAACAAACAAAAAGCAAATTCCTTAAATATTTTCCATATCTAGTTTCTTTTGCAACTTCAATCTTTTTGTACTAGCTATAGTCTTGATCTCCTTTGCTTGGAAAAGTATTTTATTTATTTCTTTTAATAATAGTAGTAATGATAAAATTAAGCTAAATTACGTGTTAGTAGATCAGCACTTTCAGAAAATTTCCGGATATATGTATATGTTTATATGACAAAGCAAAAAAAAATATTTTGGTATAATTGCCTTGGGTCCATATTCCATATCAATTTCGTAAAAAGCGGTTATTTAATAGTCCAAAAAGACACTCCTATTCTATTTCTTTTGTCAGATATTTATCCTATAACATTAAAACATTTTTAAACATATAAATTTTAAATAAACTATTTTTTTAAGGTAGACTTGACAGACATAAGAATCAGTATTGATTAATTATTTTATTTGGAATAATATTATTTAAAATGAAATATTTAATATTTGCATAGGGTCAATAAGGGTCAAGGAAATTTTGTAAAGTATAGGCATATTTTTGTATTTTATAGTCTTGATCTTTCTAAATGGCTATTTGAAATCATTCTAAATAAACAAACGCAGTTTCAATATTCTAGAGTATAGCAGTTACAGGTGCACATAAATTACTAACCGTATGGATTTAAAAAGTAGCATTAATTCAAAAATATATTCTATTTTTCATTTTGTGCATAAAACAAAGCAAAAACAGAGTACGTCCCCCTCAGCACCTGTAAGAAATATTAATTTTATATTAATTAATTTCGTAAGATACAGACTTTTCAATTATAATGAAAAATTATACTGCAAAATAATACCCAGAGGAATGTGCCGTATGTGAGTTCGATCATTTTAAAGGCTTTCATAACAAGCGGTCGTTGTGCCTGAATACATGCATGCAATACGATATGTCGAATATTCTGGCCACGTGAATTTTGCATGGAGCATGTATGCCAACCACAGTAGAAGATAGATTCCGAGAGTAAGGATGCCTGAAAAAATTTTCATTTTATAATTATTTGATGATTTTATAGAAACATCAAATACAATTAAAAATAATTACCTGGTACGTAATTTCTCCAGCGTTGCAAAGAAAAAGTCCTAAAAGGAAAAATAATGCAACTACGAAAAAGATGATTTTCATAATTGCAACAAATGTCAATTGGTCTGAAAGCTGAAAATTAAAGTTAAGTTCTTAAGGAATTTTCTAAGATAGTAGAAATTTGACCTAAGTGCTGTTATAAAAATTAACAAAAAAAGAACCTTACAGCTATTCCAAGCAAAAGTGAAACGGCACCTCCTGGACTTTGACAGAGTTGTAAGGCCACCACAGTTCCAAATGCTTTATCTATCTCTTTCAATATTCTGAAATATAAAATAATCAGTATTTAACATTACCTAAATACTCTAAATTACATTAATTAGTAACCAATAACCTTAATAGTTCTTTGTGCATAATAATACCCTTGATAAGTCCATTTACGAGATGGTTAACAGCTAATTGGGGATCACTGCTTTGATGAAGTATCTCTGTATCTTTCCTTAATTTATCGAAGTAATTCCTAAGGGTTATTAATTTATATTTAAACATTATCAAAATAACCATAGTAAAACCATCAACCGATATGATCATGGCCATCAACATAATGAATAAAACAATTGTTGTTATGATTCTCGTAACTGTAGCCATTGTAGAGTTGTCTTCAAACGCAGGATAATATGTTACCACAGTAACAAAATGGGATCCTATAAATGGTACGATCATAAAATACATGATGCTAAATGCTCTTCACTACTAAATTATTGCTTGTCTTACCTTCATACATTTTTCTCAAACCTTCAAACACGTAACAAGCAGCCGAACCATAACAAGTGGCAAAATAAGCAAGGACATTTATTTTCATTACTTTATATTTTTCATTCATCAAAGACTCTTCTTCGTGCATCTCACATACCGCAATTATGTCAGTTATCAATTTTTTTATGGACTTTTTGTTTACTATAATGGATAACATCTTTATCATTACAACAGTATGGGCAACTGAAAAAGTCACCGAATCTCTTTTCTCGTCTTCCGGGAAATCGGCAAAAAGTGCGGCCATTACTTCTAATAAAGTCAAGAATCCGTACAACGAGAATGAAATATAAAAGTATATTCTATATGGAATACTGTTTTCATCTCCTAAAACTCCATTTTCAAACCATAAATTACCAAAACCTACATAGAATATTCTTTTACATAGCTTTTGTAGGATATTATAATTCTTCATGGCTACGAGCTTGAAGTGAGGCTTCCAATATCTTTGAATAAAATGTTTCTTGTGTCCACTTCTAGTTAGAGATAAGTAGTAATGACTTAATTCCCAACTTTTAATATATGTACGTAAGTAAACGTACATAATTACTATGGGTTCTTTTCCTTTTTCTTTGTCTTGTCTTTTATTTTTTCACTTCTAGTAAATTGACAAGTATAATTTATTTGATAAGCAAAAATTTGTTATAAAACTTATTAGCTTATATGCTATCTTGTACATATATTAGACACAAGAATATTGTACCTTTAAGTAATATTCTATAGCAAAATTTTTAAAACTATGGAAATCATATTATAGAAATAATATTATACGGCTTCTTTCTTTTTTATGTGGGTTCCTAAATTGTTGTATTAGAACTTTTGCAAACGTCTACTTTAGGCCTTTAATTATATTAGAACTGTGAAAGTACATAATGTGAATAACTGAATGTTTTATTAACGTTAAATGGTTCGGTGAAGCACACTAGTTTAGCAAATATGTAGTACTTTTATCAAGTTAAATTACTTCTACCTCCACAAAAGACCAAAGTTTTGTGTGTATTTCTCACTATTACGGCAACTATATCATTAATTATTTACGATTTAATTTTCAAAGGACTTCAATTTATATGTGTCAGTTAATTATTTCAAAATATTGTAGACTTTTAGTCAGTGGTGGCCTAGTGGTTAAAAGGCCCGCCCCTCATGCACGAGGGCGCGGGTTCGTTCCTGGCCCTAGCAAGTACTAATGTGATTTTTCGAGTCATATGTACTTTCTAAGAGTATTTAGACATCACTGACTATTGCATTTCCTAAAAGAGTTGATGTCAGGGAGGCGGCCGGTAATAGTAATATTACCTATTTTCATTATTTATTATATGAATATTTTCCTTACTAAGATGAAAATGTACAAAATTCTAAATGTCTACGAAAAATATTTTTGAAGGTAAAAAAGCAACTTAGTCCAAAATAAAACACAATGAAAATATTAACTACTGTTACTTAGATAAGAAATTGTTTATGGGCTTTGCAAACATTTTAATCCGCGACGCTATTCTTAAATCTAAAAATGCAAATAAAGCAGCTTTAGTTGTAGTTAAAACTGTCTTTTAGTTTTTTCAGTAGCTTTACAATTAATTAATTTTACTCTTAATGGATGCTTGTGTGAAATGTTAAATTTTAATTACGGAGTTTAAACAATCTTTTGTTGAAATTTTAGTAATAAGTAACTAAACTTTTGACTACACACATGGGGTTTATATGTCATGGCTAAAATTAAAGAACCACCTATTGAGAGACGATTGACCTCATTTTGTACCCCTTGTCCTCTTTTGAAATTTTAAAATCACAACCTCTTTTTTCCTTCAAAATTGTTTTAGATATATTATACATATTTTCGTTTTCTCTATCTTAGATATTTTATAATCACAACATTATTCTTATATCATAACATATTACATATCGTAAAACCCAATTAAAATGCGGTATGTGCACGTGTTTTTTTTTTGCTCTTAATTATTTACAATAATAATCATCATTATCGACATAAATTATTGTTTTTTTGGTTATTATAGAGAGTTATTTTCTTTATGTGGAGTCATTGACATGTCAAGTGATTTTTGTCAAAAATTCTTTATAGTTTTGTCTGCTATTGTGATAGCTAAGGTTTCAGTGGTAGAATTGCTTGTAGTGACTAAGCCCTCTTAATATATCACATATAAAAATAAATCCCTATACAGGTAAATTAAACATCCTTAAATAAAAATGGTCATTGACCAATCAACGCGACACAGAACGAGATGTTCTATATTTAATCCTAAATGTATTTATAACTTGTAGTTTATTTAATATACTTTGTGTGTAATCTTTACTAGTGAGATTCAAACATATATCAGTTATATTTTATTATATAAGCAGTTATGCAATCAGATTTTAATTCGGTATATAAACATCATTATTATCATCATGGTTATTACTAATATTTTTTATTTTTACTAACTTCTTCTTTGACGCTTGTGAGAAAGACAGAAAAAAAAAGATGAGTGCTTTATGACTAAGATAAAATGTAAACTACTACAGTGACTCTCTAGATAAATATTTTAAACCACATACATTGTATTACGTTATAAATTGTTTAAGTTGTATTTTCAGTGATCTAAAACACTAGAAACACTTTAAAAAACATTTACTAAAATATATGAGTATTCATCATTCAATACAATTATTTGTTATACTAATATATTTAACTACAAAATACAATACGTTTTGTCGGAAAAAGATTAATACATTTATCTCTTCTGATTATTCTTTAAACAACGAAAACCTCCCTGAACCCTCTTGCAAGGGGGCAGCTAATACATTATGGTTATCCAACGGACTGGCAGTGACTATTTCATTGAGCCAAACCGAAACCTTGCGGATCTGTTACGCATTTCCTACCCAAATGATAAGAACTGAATTATAATTTATAGTATAATTAAACAATATAGATACAGTGTGTATGATTTTTTTCTTAACATTGAGCAAAGAAACTTTTAAATAGCTTAATTTGTAAAACAAAAGTTAATTAATTGTAATAATAATAATATTTTTATAAAAAAATAAATAGATTTATAAAAAAATATGATGTTATATTTTCTGTCTGTTCAAGTCTTAATTATGACAATAAGATAAAATTAAGTGCTTTATAATGAAACAATATACAAAGGGGTTCTTACAAAAGGGTGAAGCCTTCGGGCCTAACGGAGTTTGAAGGAGGTATTAAATTTATCACTTATTTATTTTTACTAAAGAATAGAAAATGAGGTCATTTGTAGACATTAATGATGGCTTAAAAATATAAAATAATATGTTTATATATAAAATTATATATATAATACTATTGAAATATTATAAGATGATCTCATAATTTTATAGCTGCGTCAAAGTTGTACCAAAATTGTATTACACCGTATAGCAGACCAGGCGGAGGAACGGCATTCAAGCTTAATAGTAACATCAAAGTAGTCGCGGAGGAAGGAATGAACTTCGCAACACCGCCTAAGGGATCCGAGTTCTGATAAAATAAATTACGATCTTGAACAATAAGTTGTCCGTATTTCACTATTACAGTAGAATATTTCAGGAAAATACTAAAGTATGAAGAATTAAATACACAAATTGCAAACAAGTATTCTGACAAGATTTCCATAAAATTATCTAAGTGTACATAACAACACGTAATAGTTTGACGTTAATTGGATATAATTTTTTTACAAATATATATTTTGTTGAATCGATGTTTTTTTTAATAGTGAAATTTGTAAGGAAATTGACGGTTGCTGTCACCCTATAATTTTCCATATTTATATGTTTTAAATTATTAAACATGTTTAAGGTTGACCCAATTTATAATATCATATTTCTCCTTTTGATTGCTTGCTCCTTTGCCGACGGTTAGTCTCAGTACAATCAGCATTCGTGTTGTGAACAACGTTAGCAGAATACTAAGTCGATGCAATAAGTGCTAACAACAAACACCCCAAGCTTTTATTTTCTGAACTACTTCCTAAATTACTAAGTATACCTCATAAGCATTTACAGTTGGACAAAAGTTTTAAAAATAAAGTTTTCAACAAACAGAATCAATATTTGATGCAAGTAGAGGAATAATGTCCATTTCATTGACCTCGACACAGTTTGCTACCGGTTTTGCTATTTAAGAAAGAAGCAGATAAATTGATATTCATACCTTTTATAATTATTCAACCTCCCTATTAGATAAAATAACATAATACACTCGACCATACCTTTATCTCTTTGACTTTATGAACATATTATTCGTCATCAGCCTATCAGAGCCCACTGCTGAGCAAAGGCCTCTTTCTCACATGGAGAAGGTTTGAGAATTAATCACCACGATTGCTCAAGACGGGTTGGTGATTTCAAACTTTTAATTGTGAAATTATAAGTCCAGATTTCCTCATAATGTTTTCCTTCACCGTCTGTCAGTGGTGTCTAAATACTCTTAGAAAGTACATATGATTCCGAAAAATCACATTGGTACTTGTCAGGATCGAACCCGCGCCCATTGTGAACGAGAGGCAGACCCTTTAACCACTAGGCCACCACTGCCTGAACATATTATTATTATAGTATAATTAATTTATGGCAATTAATTATATAAATAAGGTATAATAATAGTAAATATATATTTTTTACTCTAACAATACAAACTTTAAACAGGGCTTGATATTAATCGTTTATTACTGCTCAGTACTCCTCCGTCAAAATATTTCACGGAACCATTAAAAGTAATTCTAAAGTTAGATTGGTTCATAGTTTTCAATTGAAATCAATAACAATTTCTTGACAGTGGATTGTGGGGATAGAGGTAAATTGTGAAGAGAAATTGCATTCAGCTATTGAGTGATATCTTTTTATATATGTCTTTCTTATATACTCTGGGGATAATTATTATACTTATTTGTGTATCGAAGTGAAATATTTAGGACAGAGAATACTGTCACGCCTCACTATTCAGTAAATTAGGTAACACGTCATGAATCGCCGGATAATTAAACGCCAGAAGCGTCATTTAAGGGCCACAGAGTTAAACAGTCACGTGTCTAATTGTAACATTAATCAGGCCTGAATTACAATCTCATTATAATTTTAATGAATAATTTAGGTACATTGTTATTTTTATTGAATTGAGGTTTGTATTGAATTCAATTATTCTTGTAATAATAAAAGTATAAAAAACATCAAAGTTAATATAATTTATGTAAGATAATTTAATACTACGAATTGCATTATATGTATTAGAGATAGGTCTTATAAAATTGTTATAATCGTGAGATTTAGGAGATTTTACGGATACAATTTTACTCTTTATATTGTGTTATCATATGATTAAATAAATATGATTCATACTATTAAAAATAATCATACAATAGTAACACAAAATTCCACCAAAACATATAATACCAAAAGAATATATAATTCATTTAAAACATAAATAAAAGTCATAATTAACATATTAAAACCCCAATATGTGGATCATAATAAAAAAAACCCTTGCAGTTAAATGAGATTTTCATTTAATATGTTAAAATGAACCTTAGTGCTTAATAAAACAAAACCGTAGATATATATATATACGTATACGTAAGGTTGGGTTGAAGGGATTACAAATCTCTTTTCTTGTGCCGCGAATAAAAACTTTCATCGCCATAAAAGTATATGAGTTCGTCCCAATATTGCGTCGATGACTTCCAATCTCTCTATAGCGGGTCGACCCAACACAGTTGATTACTTTTTTCCTATCTACAAAATTAAATTAAAATAAAGGAAACAAAAAAATGTGTCTATGAAGTGGTATGCATGTTTTCTTACTTGAATGAATCACAGTCTTAACATTATTCATTGGAAATTTTACATTTTTACTTAAGAAATTAACTTTTTTTTAATTTTCCTTTATTTTTAGCGTTAACTTTTATATATGTATTTATTTCCTTACTTTACTGATATGTATTTTATTTTTATCGCAGAGTTCAAGAACTAAATTTTAAAAAACACCATACGCATAAATTGTTATAATTTAAAGGTTATACTAGCTAATCTCAGACCAGAAATACGTTACATTATTTTAGAAAACAGCTGATACTAGCACAAAACCATCTCAATTTAACTGGCTACCAAATGAAAAAACGCCCACTAAAGTCGTTGGTTATGTTTGAGATCTACTATGCAACAGACGTCAAATTTATAGCCCTCTTTTTGCGTCGGAGAAAGAAAGTAAGAAATGAGTCAATATAGTCTTTGCAGAAATAATTATTGTTACGTATTTTACTCTTATACATACTACTCAAGATACACATGTAAATCGCATTTTCATTTCTGACGTTTATGTTTTCTTTTGTATTCACTGGCTTTATTAGGATTTAATAAGAAAATGTTGTTAATGATCTCGGTGTGATAGATAAATTCATAAATTGCTAATTCACCAACTCAAGCCACGATAACTTAATTGGTATAGCGGCTGAAACACAATACTTCAGAAATCATCTGTTCATTGTACATTTTCTATTCTAAATTTATTCATATTGTAATATTTGTGAAATTGGTTATTAGACTAACGTATACAGTAAATATATTTTGTACAGTAAAAAGATAGATCATTTGGCGTTTGTGATATACTAATATAAGAAGGTCTGAAATGCTTTGCGTAGCCATGAAATGTTTTGTCTTTACGATATTCTAAACCAAATAAATAACGCAGATCACGTAGTAGCCTGTATAAAAGAAAGATTTTGAATCTCGATAACTTACAACAGCTTATTGGGTTAGATTACTAAGCCACATGCAAAGTACAGAATATTTCAATATCAAGAATCGTGTCTTAACAACCGGCTGCTTCATGAATAAATGATGTTCTTGCTAAGGAATATGATGTATGTGGGTTGAATGATTTCATTTCACTTCAAGTTTAGATAAGGAACCCCAGGGAGTAAAAAGAAGCTACTACAAGAATCCCGCCAACATCCAATATATAAAATAAGTTATATTAAAAAACAAAATATTTATTTTTATAATCAATAAAATACACTTTAATAAAACTATATATTGTTTATATGGACATATATTTAGAATTTTAATCCTCTATGAATTAAATTATATCATTAAATGATATGATTTATTTATGTAAGTGGTTATGAATAGTTTCACATTTTTTTTTTTTCAAAATAACTCAAAATTACTCTCTTGATTTTGTATGCCAGTAGGTAGAAAAATATACTATTCCTACTAAAAAATGTCGTATTTTAAGCATTTCTCAAAAAACTTAATTTAAAAATAAATATAATTTATTTTCCAACAATATCAAAACTGAATAACATACAAAATAACATTCTTTACGCCTAGTAATTTTAAGTTTTTCCTACATTCAAGCCAAGTGGAACACTTGTGACGTTCATTGCATCATTTAGTGGTTAAAGTCTAGCGAGATAGTGGCCAATTATACCAACGCTGTGAAATTTTACATCGTGAAAAGTTTTTGTGCCTATGTCAAAAGTTATAACATAATAGAGGTATAAGATTTTACAAAATAATAAACATTTTATAAATGGAGAATTAGAAGGTAATCTATTATAAAAAATAAGTCAATACTTAAGTTTAAATAACGAAATAACATTTATTAAATTCCATCTATTAGGACTTTTATGAAATTGTAACTGTAAAACAAACATATTGAGTTTAGAAGCTACTAGGTGACCCAGCTGTCAAGTGATAGCGCGAGATTGCGCGGGCTCACCCCCCGGTGTTAACACTTTCTTAACACGCTATAGTACAACGACCCTAAATTCTAATTTTTGTTTTGTCACTAACTATGTATAAGTTGTTTTACTGTTTGGTTTGAAGAGAAGCGTTCAAATGAAAACATTATGTAAAATATGTTTTGTTGCTTAGAGACTTCCGACGGTGAAATAGATTTTCTTGTTTGATGTTGAAACAAAATTCCAAAGATCCTTGGGGCAGATTTCGGAATGGATTTATTTAAACTTAATTCATTACCAAAAGTGCTGAGTTTTGCCTACCTCGTTGGCTATTTCTATAATCAACATTGATTTGTCTGGTTTCAGTGTATATAGTCAAAAAGAGTTACCATCACTCTGGAGACAAAAATCGATAATGAACTATTGTGACCGAGTTGACCTAGAGGTATCTCCGAATCAGGAATGGATGGAAGTATCTAAAGGTAATCCTCATTTAATACCTTGTTATTACCAATCTTAAAATGCATAGAGGTTAAACGGAAACTACACCAAATTTGTAAAAATCACAGTAAGTTTTACTCTAAAATCTAGATCGATGTAAGGGGTAATAAATTATTTCATGTCTCCTTCCAAAGTGGATTTCAATTCGGATAAGTCGATCTCTTTTGTGCGTACGTTTATGCTTGCGATCATCAACAATAATGTGACTATTCAAAATATTTCGTATTCGATAAGGACTATTAAAATCATTAAGTTTTGAACTTTAAAAATCTCAGCATATTATCTAAAGCAGGCAGTATAATAAGTAGAACTAGCTTTGGTATTTATTTATTATTATTAGACCACAACAACAATTTTGTTTCTTTAATATATATAGTAAATAAAATAACAATTACTGTCCTAAACAAACATACTTATGAGTTCGATTTGGAATAAATGATCTTTTCAAATCCAGTTTACGTGATAGTCTCAGAATTTGTGAGCAAAGCAGTGGGGACTCCTCACAGCGATATTTATCCATTGTTTATTTGTATTTAATCTCGTTTAAATTAATATCATGGAAACTTACTTATACCTAATTAATATATAAACAAAATTTCTCTTATAATTTATATTTTCGTTTTCTTTAATATTATATGATTTTGTTTTCAATGTAACTCGAGACTTGTTCTAAATATGGTTCTGTTGCTATAAATTCCATAACTCAGTATAATTTCTTGGGTTTCTGTTATTCATGCTAACCTACAGATTTATATCTATTATCCACTCCTGTGTATGGAATTTGATGCATTATATAAGTATTTTTGAAACGATAACTATCAAATTTGGTCATATATATCAACTTCATTTTATATACGAAATATTCACGGCTACGAAATTACGCTACCGTCCAAAATTATTACGTGTTCAACGTTTAATAACAGCTTTTCTATTAATTGGTCATAAAACTTTTGTAGACACCGTTCCTGTATGTTATTTTTATTATAGTGCCAATGATCATATTATGTTATACCAAAACTTCTAAATACTCTTGTATTTTATAAAATCACTGTCTTTTAATTTTAAACATATATTTAATTGTAAATAAAGAAAATTAATTATGAACAATAAAAACAAGGTTAATTTAGTTCAAGTTCCAATAGAAAGAATAAACATTCAAATTGAAATAAATAGCCTCATACTATATGTGTACTTTATAATTATTTTTTAAATAACAAGGAAATATGCTTTAAAACATTAATAAGTACAAATAATGATATTTCCATGATGAAATAAATGGAAGCTGTTGAAGCAACTAATTGGATAAAAATACAATAAAATTAAGGAATTTACGTAGCTAAGAGATAAACGAGGTTAGAGCAACATTCAGGGGATTTATTTGTTTTCAACGGTTTACCGAGAGGAGCTCTTAAATAACAAGATTCTGTATTTTACATCTCATTTGCCCACAAATAGTCTTGGATTCTTGTTTTCTCAATTTCAGATAGACTATATCATTTATATTTGAAATACGAATATATATACGAAATTAATACATTATTGTTAAGGTTATATATTCTTTCAATAGACAATAATAATATCTCTAAGCATTTTTTGATTGTTAGATATAGAGTAAGTATATTTTTATTGCTCTAATGGTTTGAACATGAACGGTTAACTTATTATTCAAATTACAATTTATAATATGTTACATAGATTGATAAGTATGGTAATGGCTTAAGTCTACCCACTTCTATATAAGAATGAAATAACCACAACTAAAAGAAGTCTTAATAAATGTGAAAGCTGAATCTTTTTGCACATGTAAGTATAACATCCAGGTAGAGTGTCTTTCCGATAAAATGTGGTATCTCTCACTTGAAGAAAATCTACATGCACGTTTTGTTGATCTTGAAGTATAAAACAATTTTATCTAAGCAAGAACCGACCAAAGAATCATATTAATGGGAACAGTTTGACTATTTAAATTATATCCATTTAAGTTTTGAGTTACATTATCAAATATGTAGTTTTTATAAATATTTATTTTTAAACGTCTTTGATTACTCAAGAATATCTAAAAAAAAGTTTTTATAAATATCTTAACTATTTTACTTTTATACATAATATATGTACTTATTAAATATACATATAATTAGCAAATGTATAAAGTATAGAAAATATTTTTAAGATTGCCATTATGAACATTCATAAAACTTTAATTTGGGTAGAAAGTTGAGGGAAAGCAGTGCAGGTTGCGGTAATTACTGCAGTTACCAGTTTAGAGTCGAGCTGAGAGAAACTTAGAAGTATTATGAAAGTTTTGCTCTAACCCGACCACAAGACTTCGGAAAATTAAGTCGCATGTGTGCAGCTTAAAAACTTGAAGACTAACAATAAAATCTTACTTATTGAAGAAATTTTAACAAAAAGGTATGATGTAATAAATACTTAATGTTGGGTTTGATTTGGAATTCAATATTGCTACTACACTATATATTAACGTCTGATTTTGATTTGGCTCTGAAATAAATTGAATACTTAGGATAACTCTTAGTCAATGTAGGTAATTATTTGAATAAAAATTTACACAATTGAAAAATAATAATTTTACAATGTCGATATACATATGCATATTTGAACAGAATATCATGAAAATTGTTTAGTCCAGGTTGACTGAATATATTACAGGTAATTTAAAAGTCATAGATGTATATATTGGTCTGTTACAAGTAAATGAAGTATATTACTGAACATTTCCATATTAATTTATTGAATTAAGACAGCCGAAGAGAAAAACAACGATTAAGGAGTATCCAATGGAGAAGAAAATGTTTTGAAAGACTTCACTAAAAAAGTTTTAGACTTTTGATGTGTGAGTCTGGTGATTATTTTTCCATAGCCTAGACTATAATATGGAATAAAATTTAAAAAATTTACATCAGCTAAATTAATATTAGAATTTTTATGTGTTACAAAATACTTCGTGATACGATTATATTTACTAAGGATACATTTCAAAATTTCCCTATTATAACCATCATCATTTGTTTTTTTTTTCAAGTTTATCAAAAATAAGATGCCGAAATATCGAAACAATATTATTGAATTCAATATCAATTTTATGCCTAAAATTTAAATATTTATTTAAGGTTTTTACTAAGACATTTTAACCTTATAATAAAATTAAACTTATGTCTATACATTTAAGATGTGAAAAAATATATATTATTGAAACTTTTATTCAACACAAAAAGATATTAAGATATTTAAACAATAATTACAAGAATTTTTGCATCTTGTCTATGCACCTGTGCTCGCCAAATTAGAAATCAGATTGATCGTTTAAAATGATGTTTTCATTAATGATGAGCTTAAATTCATATTCAGTATTTATTTAATATGAAAAGGCTCATAAATAAAAAGTTATACCCATTTAGAGCATCAAATCAAATATTTAATTAAGTTATTTATTTAACTTTTTAGTAGTTGCCTTAAATTTTATTAAATATGAAAATGTGATTATTAAGAACACTTAATTATAAAAAAAACACTATGGTTATAGTTATAACTTTTGTATTTTCTTTAAAACCAATGTTATCTGACCTAAGATCTGTACAATGAATCACACAAAATAAAACTCGGTTTAGGCTTGGACTTTTGTAGGTTATTCACAAAGCGTTGTATATGACACTTCATGTGGCTATGTTCTATGTTAGCAATCCTTTTTTTTTTGTTATCGCTGGAAAAATGCTTTTCGTATACCACTCTACCCGGGGTAGGCAGTTGTTGTTATGTGGGACTCCTAGGTTTAAGCACCCAGTCCACCCACTAAAAAACCAGCGTAATTCCTCCTAACTCGTAACCTAAAAAGGTGGAAAGAGGCCACGGTAACGCTTTCGCCCAGCCCGCGGCCTCCAGGTATGGCTATCCGGTCACGAACCCAAAGCAGGATGGGTTTGTAGAGGCATCAGGAGACGTGCCAGGATGGTACGGTACGTCATCCGACTCGAGGACCTTGTTGTATCTCGGGTCCTCATGTTAGCAATCCTACCAGTCCGTATGATTTTGTGACAGTACTTCTAATATCATACCTCTAATGTATAGAAAAGCATTACTGTCTAGATTTTCTAATAACAAACTACGGTCCTTACAATCCAAAATAAACTAGAACTGATTCACAAAGGATCCTCGTGGACAAAATTGTAGTAGCTGTTAGTTAAACATAAATTGTATTACATGGCTGTAGTAAACACACGCATGGTCTGTCAATTTGAACACAAATATTATAAAACTCTTATTTACATAAACTCGTGGAATGTTTTAATTTACATGAACCGATAAAAACCAATACGTACCCATAAATACAAACATGAAAAGTTTCCTTGCTCATTTATCTCACGAGCTCATATATAATCGGGCATGTTTCAGTAATTAAAAATTTAATGAAGATTAAATATTAAAATTTTTTCATGTTGTATTTTTTGCCAATACTTTATTTTCAAATTTAAATTGTAGTTACTTTTTTGCAATTCATAGTCATAATTTTGTGATCATTTAACAGAAAGCAATCCAAAAATAAATTTCAATTAAAATCTGACAACAATCTATATTTACGCTTCAGTCAAAATCATTAAACCTTTGCAACTGTATTCTCTTTAATCTTATGACATTAGTTCAACTTACCTAATCAATTTAAGTTATAACGAGGTTGATCCCCAGAATTCCCAGATTTATCTTCAAATAAGATCTAATGTAAACGTTAAATCGATCTCCCTTCCTCAAACAGGAATAATGCATACCATTCGTCTTCGCCCACGATGCCACATCATTCTGTCCAATCATATTCTTCTAAATTTATCAGAGTCATTAAGAAAAACGACGTCAATAAAATATTTTTTCATATAAATTGCAGATTTCTTTTCTGGTTTCTCGTTTATAAATGTCTGATTTATTTTGTTATTTGTCACTTTAAAACATTTTATTGTTGGAAAGCTACAAATTAAAGGAAAATATGTATTATAATAAATATTTTGTAATTCTGTTACCTTTGTAACAGTATAGGATTGCACTTCTTGTTAAAAACAAATCACAAATTTGTTTCATATTTATTTTGAATACAAATAAAGAACAATGTATTTTTGATAACTTCATTAAATTTTACCTTTATTGTATTTGTCAGAAATTAATTAAATTCTAAGTATCGACGTTTAAATATTAGTAATATTTTTACATATAAAATTTCGGTATCATACTTTTTATACCAAGTCGGCTTAGCGGGTGATACTTGAAAATCTTTTTATTTTATTGTAACTAATGTCCATTTAATTATTATTGCCATAACGGAAGACTTGTCTAAATGTTTATGATAGTGCAATGTTAATTATTAAACGTAGGTAACCTTTTGTTTTGCAGATTCAATACTTGTATAAAGCAAAAAATATACGTGGTTAGGGCACATAACCGAGGAAAATTTCAGTTCTCCTATACGTTCCACGTCTTGAAAGTCAAGTCACAGTGCAGTCAGTACAAAACTTAACA